CACTCTAATGCATACTTTTCTCTCGTTTCCGTGTGTGTGAGATAGATCTGCTCAGTGTAAGAAAGGGGTGTACCAAATTTCTATCTTACAACCCGTTTCACGTAACATGACGTCCCATTTCCTTTTTGTTGGATTGTGAGAAAAATACTATTTCATGCCCGGGGGTGTAGAATAGGGAAATTCCACCCACGGGATTTTCCTATCCTACACCTGGGCATGCAAGTCTTGTAGTCTTTAATGACAAGTGACATGGTTGTTATCAGTAAGAGTAGTCATGTTATGTATCGTGTCTAAGTATGAAACTAATAAAAGAAAACATTGTAGAGAGTTACAACGATGTCGTACTCAATGTTATGTCTGTAGTATTACTAGATATCAGAGGCGACCACAATTTGTAACAGTATATTTTTGATGTATCAGGGACGGAACCAGGTCATTTGCTGTAATCTACTCGTATCCTAATTGTGTTGGAATGAACGCGTGGATGATGATGCTGGATTATGGCAGCAGCGCCACATGCAGTAGCTCCTTTGACAATGCCGGCACCAAACCTTACTTTCTGTACAGTAGTTCCGGATCATATGGGCCGCCCGAATCTGGTCAGTATTGACCATCGTTAAAACATTTTTGTTATTAATTAATAATGATTTAGGAACCTTGTTCTGTATATAAATGTAAAATGAAAGGGCGAAAAAAAGATAAAATAAAAATGTGTACCATATCATTAGCAGATATATAAAAGTGATACAAAATGTAGTAAAATTTATATATTTTTCAAATATAAATCTTCATGATTGACTATTGTTAACGTGTACTTGTAGAGAAAAGGACAAAATACAATCAGGTATAACAATCAAGTACAGAGCGTCACATAATGATTTTTTATGTGACAAGAAGTTTAATTAATAATTAATAATGTGCGTCACAATTTTGCAAATCAAGGATCATCTTGGGACAGCGCTGCATTCCCAAAGGCCGACGTGATGGGCATATTCATTCACGGTGAGTTTATCATATTTGCTATTACATCCAAATTATCCGAAATACGCATGATATCATTAATGATTCTTATATATTTTAAAACAATGAACCGATACGTTATTGCATATTATTTGTATATACTTTAACTAACATTAAGAGGTGATAATGAAACGTGCGCCGTCCGATTCGTTTCCGAACGGTAACTTCATATTCGTAACCTCATATTCGGTTGATATGTTTTGATAAAAATGTGACAGAACAACATGTTGTGATACGGATCAAACATAGTCTCGTTACCAGACATTGTGATGTGTTAAGGGGCATTTATCATCACCTGCCACTATGTTAAGTTTAGGACATACATGGTGTCACGATTGGACAATATGTTGTTTCAGGGACACGTGCTTTGTTTTACTAGACAGTTCCGTGTTGAGGAATTATATTGCTATACAGTACTACTTTTCTCGTTTATCTCACTTAATCTATATTTGTTTACAATATAAAGGTTGGTTCCCGGTTTTGAAAGTAGGAAAGGGCTCAACACTTTCACCTGCGTCAGGAATTTACGATCTTTGGAACAACACCTATACCATAAATGAATACAACGATAGTTACGCCTTTTCGTGGGCCTCTAACTCACTCACCTACAAGTCAAGTGTTGTGGACCAGTGGAGTTTGTTTTACATCAAAGCGGTAAGGTTTCGCTATTGTTTATTGACAAAGTTTTGAATTTGTTATGCTCTGTTATAGATCATATACTGAAAGCAAGCTTTTTCAGGAAAAATTGAAGAACATCTTTGACTATTAAATGTTTATAGAATTAGAAAATTTTCGAGGAGATAAGATGTAGACGTTGGACGATTGATTAATTTGAGGAAGTTTTTTTGGTTTATTTTTATAGGTGCGGCTATCATTCTTTGTGTCCGGTAATGAACTGGCCTACGTTGTTTTTGATGCGCATGGATCTACCAAAATGACTTGGTTTTCTTGTGATAGGATATTATACTCATCGTGGACCGATTTGAATCGCCATGGTACAAAGGACTACTGCAGTATAGAAGGGTATGCAATGTACATTATCAAAATAATAAATTAACATCAAATAATAAATATTTCTGTTTGCATATATAGGACTGAACGGTGTTATTATTATCATTTAACATATTCGCGAATATTTCCGCTACAGATACAGAAGAAAATAAAGCAACCATTACATTTAATGTATAGCGATTGTGTCAGATAATTTGAATATAACATTTTAAAATGTATTTACCACTTAAAATACGCTGAAGCGCTGTGGTCCCGCTAGTTATCAGAAAATACCACGTGATTGACAAAACGGGACCAAACATGTTCTGATAGGAGGAAGCAAATGAATTAATTATCATGGAGATACTATTCATAAATTTTGTTCATTTTTTCTCGATATTACAGAGAACCGTCATTTCAACGGTATTTCTTCATGGAATCAAGCTACGGCACAAGTTGTGCAACCAATAGTGGCTGGTTTAGTGTGGTCGAGCGTACTTCCGGCGGATGTAGCTGGGAACAAAAAGACGCGAACTTTCCACATGTTGTGTACAGTGATACGACTACAGCAGAACTAAATACGGGTAAATATACCCTCTTATTTGTTGGTCACTGTAGAACAGTATTTAAACTTCGTATTTTGTGTTTCTCACTATTATTTTGAAAATGTTTACATTGTAATTAATATCAAATTGAAATGTCGAAATATTTTATTGCAAGATAATCATATTTATTTAGGATGAACAGAGTAAAATAACTTGAGTCAATAATTTGTCATATAATACAACCGCACCAATATATCTTCCAAAATGAAATGTATTTGTATATGGTATATGTAATAAACCAAAAAAAAAAGTATAAAAGGATAAATTAAAATGTATTTATAGCTGGAAGCGGGTTTTTTCCGTAGAACCAAAGGAATTTTTTCCATGTTCTTATATTATTTTCATGCTTACTACAAACCACTATAAAACATTATCGAACACTCCATAACAAAATGTATTGACAAACGTGACGGTGTTCACGATAGTTCTCTTTTCTTTTTCAGTAAAGATAAAACCAGCCTCCTTTTTGTTATAAGTTTACATGTGACAGTTCACTCGCTACATCAGCCACAGGTCCCAAAACGGCATTTTTGGTTTGTTCTCAAATAAATTCATTTCAATCAACTAAGAGGTGTCGATATATGTCATGTGACGGAGTAATGTTCACGTTTAGTGCAAAATGTCCATATTATTTATTGTGTGAATTGATGGCTTTATACACGTCTATATATTCAGGTTGCGTTTTGTAACGTTTGTTTAATATTTAAATTACAGGCATGGCTGTCGCAGACACATTCGGAATATCAATATGTAAGTTGAACATACTTGTGTCTATTTCTTTGTGTTGTTTTGTATGTGGACTTCCATGTCAATATCAAATGAGATCCAAGATCATTTCATTATTTCTTTACATAACAGTTCTGTCCTGAGCAATGTGGAGCATGTTTTTGAAAACAAACAATCATTCATTGAGCTTAGAAAACCTTTAATATTTGTTAAAGAAGAAATGTTGTAATTTTAATAACATAATTTCACATTTTTAGCTATGGATAACATATGTGACATTGTGGAATGCCTCAATGGCGCCACCTGTTTGAACTGGGGCGGTCGGTACTTCTGCTCATGCGCAGGGAACTACTACGGTCATCTCTGTCAAAACTGTGAGTATTTTGTATGATACTTTGCGCTGAACACAAGGCTGAAGAAATTGTGTTCTTTCTTAATGGAAACCATTTTGTGTTAAAAACACGATTACCATTCAGTTAAACTAACAGACGAGATAACTATTAAATCAAGTGTTCTTGGGACGTGTGATGATCGCACAAAGTTTTTGTGTTAATGATGTTGCCGACAATATAGATATACAAGTGTAATCTTCAAACAGAAAAAAGAAGACATGTATCAAATTGTTACACTTTTCCAGTGGACGGTGGCTGGACGACATGGTCAGACTGGACAGACTGTAGTACCACGTGCTATTCTCAGGGAACTCAGACTCGTATCCGGTACTGCACCAATCCCTCGGTAGCGGAGGACGGAATCGACTGCATTGGCTTCCAGAACGAAACACTCTTCTGTACGCCAACACACCTGGACATCTGCCCCCGTGAGTACTACTATAAATTAGTTTATTTATACCTTATACATATCGAAACCTTACTATAACATGATTGATTTATTAAATGCTCTAGCTTGGTCATAGTAAAGAGCTTGATGTTCGGTAATAAGGGATTTTGTAATGATTGAATGCTGAAACCAAGACTGGTGTTAAGTGAATGAACGCAAACAGTTGCTGTGAAATTTCCCAATTGGCACTTTATTTCAATCCTGATATTTATGTCAATCGTCTACCACGCTTTGTTTTCATAATATACACCAATATCCAAAACTATTTTGTCAAAATTAAGTAATCGTCCTGGTAAATTTATGTTAATGCAGCATATATCATATTCTCCTTTCAAAATTTTGCTTGAATATTCAATTTCATGAATGAACAAGAGCAAAAGTTCAACATAGGAATACTATCACTCAAGTTATATGGATATGATTCTTGATAAAAAAAATATAACGACATTATAAAAAAACGTTTCATACTTGTTGTTTTTTTCAATATATTTTTTTACTGTATTCTGATCGATATTTTTTTGTTAAATATTTCAAACTGTCATCTGAATGAAATTCGGTTGATTCAGATGCAATTTACAAACGTTTACTTATATTATATCTATGTTTCTTTCAATGTCTCACTTGCTAACGTATCAAATTACACCAAAATAGATATGATGGCAAATAACGGTCATGTTAGACAATAATAACTTCACATGAAATATGTTTGCATGTGTTAAACGTAATTGCAGTTAAACTTTACAATGTTTACGTGGTATATTTTCTTTATATTTGGTAGAATACAACACAACGTTTATAACAGAGGGTGAAAACTACACGATGGTGTGCCCACCAGGGTTTTACATCCATATCTACGAGGCATATTACGGTTCCGAATCTGTTCCTTGTTCGATCTCTGACCCAGTCTCAACCTTGCGAACGGCATGTCATGGCGCTACAGAAACTTGCAATGTCATATTTAGTGACACTTTCTTCGGCGGTGACCCATGCTCGTCAGACCCATCAGCAGTGAAAAGTGGATATATCATATATAACTGTGCAAGTAAGACCAATTGTATGGCCCAGTTATCCAGCCAGTATAAGTCATCTCATTTACATGCTAATTGAATAATTTAAGGATCCCCCTACCACTGTAAAAATGGAGTATTTAACGGGTTGAAAATAGCGTTGATATATACTTTCTAAAAAGAAACATACTTCTTGAAAGAACTTCTATAATAAAAGAATGTATAAGCGGTATAAGAGATTTTGTCGATCTAACCCCCTGACCTACCTAATCAAGAAAAAAGCAAGTTACTTTATGATTGAAAAAAAAAAACCACCATTTAATTCTATATTAGTATGCATCTAGTGGATTTGGTTTTTTAATCACGATATGAAAACATCAGCTTGTGTTGTGGGAAAAACGTTTATCGCAAACGAAAACGGGTTCGAATTATTAATGGTAAATGTAGATATTTTGGAAGCCACATACTGTTTATGTTGCTATTGATATGTTTTAGGGAGCAAGACTTTGGATGAAGCACGAGGACGTACGTATTCTCTGAACCAAATTGAATATTAAGGGAAAAGTCTATATTTAAAATAAGACATGATACAATATCACCTGCATCCATTCAAATCGTATCTAAGCATGGCAAGTGGATGACTAGACAAGTACAGAATATATAAAAGTAGAAAAAAACAGAGTTACAAATTTATCCGTTATGATTGTTATACCAATATGGTGTTTGATTATGATGTTTTTTTATATTGTTGACAGTATTACCTTTGATCATTTCAGCGTGGCGACTGGTGTTTAAAGTGCCCAGCGGCACCAGTCCCCCAGCGGGGTACAATGACATAATGGCTTTGTATACATCTAGTGACGCGTACAATGAAGGAAACACGGCAGCAATGGTAGACTTCTCGGCTGGAGGAAGTATATACAAGTCGTCCATTCTGAACCAATGGGGATCGAATTTGACTGCAACTGCTGTAAGAAACAATTTTAACAAAACCCCTAAATGTACCACCCGTTACTTCGACACGTTTTGTTATAGCATAGCAACACAATTTAATATTGTTTTTAACAGGCTTTTCCATTTGTTTATGTTTACAATATATCAAGTGATAAACCGACAAAATATTTATGACGTCATAAACAAAGTTCTACTTGTTTTGCAAGTAAATAACTTCTCGTATTTTACAATGACAATTCGACCATTATATTTTATTTTAAAACATATAGCGTGGAAATGTAACCGACGATAAGTGAAGATCTTTTCATGACTACATTAGTGTCATTATTTGAGAGAGTAGTTATAAATGAGCCTGTTGAAAGATCTGGCTTAATTAGAAAAAATATTCTGGCTCACTTAATAAAAAAACATGATCTGTGTATAGGCTTTGACATCTTTGATTAATGACCTGAATATGAAATATCGATTGCATTAATCAAGAGGCATCTAAACACAATATTTGTCCTGAAAAAGTCATTAACAAGAAGCAGACAATATCACTTCATACATTTATCATAGTAGTTTGCTTGGAATCTGCGACTGGATTTTGGATCATACAATCCTTTAATATAATTGAATTTCATTATACATAATTATTTATCATATTCATAGGCGAAGGTGTCCTTTTTCAAAAGCGGACAGGAGCAGGCGTATGTGGTATTCGATGCATCGGGAAAAGGAAAAGATGACTGGTTTGATCAGACAAGGATAATTGACTCCAATTGGATTGACATCGAGACAGGAAACACGACATGTGAAATAAAGTACTCATATGTTTATTCCTTGTAATATATTTACAATTCATAATAATATATCATTTAATCACCATATTTAACAAATGTATCAATATTAACAGTCGCCTACCAGTATTCACCATTACAACAGTAATCGGTGTATTGAGCAAAATTATTGATCAATCCAAACTAATTTTCAGCAGATATTTAATACCCGATACATATAAAAAAAAATCATATAATTTAGCACACATTGTTATCTATTAATTTACACAATATGTTCAAATTACCATTGTATCATTTGAGACTAGTGCATGAATATTATTTCATTTAGTTCTGGGGACAACTATAAGCGGGTATTCCAGATTAAAAGTGACTACACCGGATGTAGTAACGAAACAGGCTGGTTCATGATGAAGGACTACGGGGCTACTGAAGGATGTTCCGGGTGGGACACAGTCGCAACCACCATGCCGTATATGTACTACTCAACGACTGGACTGCGTACACAGTGGTCTTCAGGTATATTGGTATTCAGTTTACGTGCTTTGTAAGTTGTATGTTTTATAACGACAGTGTGGAGAGGCGATACGATAGTTCGCACATTGTTTGCCTTATTGTAACCATACCAGACTAAGTCATTAAAGGACATGTGCTATATACTGATACATATTTGTAAACGTAGGTTTCGAAGAATGTGATATAGTTATTCTAATATATAGTCTTTTAACACAATAACACTTAACATCGATTTTAGGATTTTGGGGTATATGAGTTTTTACTATCAGCTTGCGACAAAACAATTTAATATAATATGTATATATATTTATAACTAAGCTTACCAGCGTTATACAAATGATAACGTTACAAAACTACCACTATATGTGTATAACATACATTTTAAATTGTGACCAATCTTTCTCATTTCTGCTTCTTTTTTTTTTTAAATTTTCAGCGGACAAAGAATTGGCGGATAGTTTTGCTATTTTCTTAATGGGTGAGTGGTTTATTTAAGGTTTAACGTTATTATGATGTATTTGCATGTCGATAGCTAATGTTGCATTCAAGGAATATGTAATTAAATCATGTTTTAAGGCAGTAAATGTAAAAGAAACCTTTTAATTATTATAGTATATAATATGTAAGTACAAAATCCAGAGAACTTGTTAAGTAGGGGCTGTCCCAATGACCTGCTCTCTGGTTTGGAACATGTTATAGTTTGTTTTAATTGATTGATATATTACGTATTATAGCTTTTCTTAACAAAATTATGATATGGTCTATACATTTTTACATTAAAATGATTGATCCCTGTTATGTAACTATATGTTTTTATACTGTGTAACTATATACTTGTACGATGTAATTGTGAAAAATGACACTAGAACAAACAAAATTGACTTGACTTGACTATTAAATAATCAGATAACAATCGGAACAATCTAAATTGATTTGAAAATCGTGACGTTAGAATAAATGTTTCCTTCAGCTCGCGAACAATGAGCTGATAACTTAGCACATAATATAAAGTTAGTACCATTGTTATCATCTTCAATGTTCTTTTGTCAGATTGGCACATGGTATTCAAAGTAGTGGCGGAAGTACAGACAGATGGGAGTTTAGAGACAATATGGACTGGGTCCTCTTCAATAAATGACGGTCTGGATTCCGCCATATCGGTCACCAACTCTCCAAACAGTAACTATAAGTCCAGTGTAGTTGAAACCTGGTCTGAAGACTTCACATTTATGGATATGGTATGTTTGATGTTAAGATGCAATGGCTGTTTTGCTAGATCATAGTAAACGATGACATATTCGGCTGTATGATTCCTGCTAATAAAGAATAAAGAAGTCATATTTTGGTCCTTTGGTGAAAGTTAGGTACGGTGAAGTCACTTGAATTAGCCACAAACGTGTCTTGCTAAACGTTTATTCAAGTTACTGGCGCATTCTTAACCTTTATAATTTTCATTGAAGGTCAAGTATGCATATTTTACTGGCGGCGTGGAAAAAGCCTGGATTGTATTCGACGGAAGAGGTACATCCAAAACTTCATGGTTTGCAGACAGTAAAATCCTCTTCTCGAGCTACAGTGATATACAAACAGCCGGTAAAGGAACAGTTAGTATTACAGGGTAAGTCACCAATGAGTTGTTTTATATTTTTCATTGTATTGGTTGTTCCAAAATATGCTTTGATGATATAATACAAAAAATTGTACCTCGTATAACCTTAGCTTAGGAAGAAAGTCTGTTAACAGTAAAAGGAAGTCCGATATATCGTACTTTGATGAGCCAGGATGGTGTATTAACCAACAGCTTAGTCTGCTTTGACTAGAACTCATCGACTTTTATCCATTGATTATGGCGACGAATTGAAACAGAAATTGATTGCAAACAAATATCTCTATTTCATTATGTGATAACGTGACGTCGTGATTTGTTTTGTCCGCTTTTGTATATTTTGTTTATTGTGGAATGTCATTCTCAGGCACGATCAGATTGAGTAATATAATCTTCTCCTACCTTGAAAATGTGACAGAGAAATCTCAAACCCGATGGATGGTATTCTTGAATTTCCCCCCCGAATCTTTAGGGAAAGACAATCAAGAATATCATCCCTCGTGTTTGATATTTATGATATTTATCTGTCACATCTGCAAGGTAGGGAATTATTGTATTTTTCCCATCCTGTTTCACCCACAAATCCCCCAACAAGCACGCGGTGATTGCATGAAATATAAGCGTTGATGGCAGGTTTTCCAGCAAATCAAGAGCTGTCTTCCATGGTCAGCTACTGTTGACGTGACGTCCGTTCATTAATGACGTAACCTCATACTGTTATAATGACTAAGATCGCGCCGTTCTGTACCAGGCTCTCTCCCCCAGGGATAGACAAGCAAATCTTGTCCGGCTTAAAAGGGAGACACACATGTGAAGTATGGGAGAAAATATAATGACATATCCATTGATTATGGCGACGAATTGAAACAGAAATTGATTGCAAACAAATATCTCTATTTCATTATGTGATAACGTGACGTCGTGATTTGTTTTGTCCGCTTTTGTTCAAATTAATTGTTTCAAGAACGAAAATTGAACACTTTTTGGAGAAAACATAAAAACGCATTGAACAAATCTAGCATATGCCAGCAAGTTAGTCAGAGTGAACTGTTTAAGTACTATGCAAAAACACCAATTGGTATAGATTTAAATCTGTAGGGGATAGTGCTTGGAGTATAATCATAATACTTGCAAATACCAAAAAAATAAATGAAGCACTTGTTTCCAAAACAAGAACATCATTGATTGTGATAAATACTATTTAAACTGTTCAAAAATAGACTCATAATAGTTGAATTGTGCTGATGCTACATGATGTTCAATATGAGCCTAATGTTCATTTATTGAGTTTTATAATTGGAATTATACACCGTGAAAGTAAAGTAAATGCTGATGCTTAGAGATATATATTGTGTCATTTCAGAGATGGGATTAGGTCGTTTGCCACGATCCTTTCCTATAGCGACTGTGCGTCACTGACTGGTTGGATGATGATGTCCGACTACAGTAGTAGTACAACATGCACGTTTGATAATGCTGGAACTAAACCATACTTCATATACAGTAGCACTGAAACATATGGTCTACCACAGTCAGGTATTTGTCTTTACGCTTGTTTTTTATCGTTAGCCCCGTATCGGGCAAATAAAATAATATACTGGTAACTTCCATGATTAAAACATTTATCAAAATAATAATATTTATGTTGTGCTTTTAATGAATATGAATTATCAACAATTATGTGTAACAACTGCTTTGAAATATCCATATTTTACATGTGTAAAGTATGTCTAACCTGTCTTTTTTGTGTTTGATATATCTTGTGTAAAATGCCATCAGTTAGTTTTACTGTGTTCCATGTCGCCCTACTTACATTGAATTATCAATGGAAAAATGCAACATTATCTTAACCTGTTACACAAATGAAAACCTACCTTGCATTTCCATTGTGAGAAAAGTGTATTAATGGTGTGTCATGTTGTAGCTTCATCCTGGGACAGTACCAATTTCCCAAAAGCTGATGTTTTGGGCATTTTCATTAATGGTAAGTCTTGAAATACAAAATAATAGAATAAGATATTCATCATTGTTTTAAAGGTAAAGAGTATCACTGCACAAGTTCAAATTATGTAGAAGGGTTATCTCGAAGCTGTTTGTTATAGTGTAGCTGATTTATATGAAGTAAAAACAAGTTAAATGATAATTCTGTTTTACAGTTACCTCCATTGGTGACATATCAATGTTTCCTTTTGATAATGTATGTTGGAACTTTATTGAAGTCATTATTGCTTAAACTTATCAACANTAATTTTTTTTTTCCTTTTTTTTTTTTTTTTTTTTTTTTTTTCAACACTAAATTAATAGAAAGAGATATTATACAAAATGCCCTTTAAATTATTTTCCGTTGCTTTTAGGATGGTTCCCGGTTTTAAAAGTGAGTAAAGAATTCGGAGTGTCACCTGCATCTGGTATTTATGACCTTTGGAATAATACGTACACCGTGAACGAATACAACGACAGCCTTAACGCCTTCTCCTTCGCCGCCAATACAATGCCCTATAAGTCCAGCATCGTAGATTTTTGGACAAACTACTACATCAAAGCTGTAAGCTATAGCTCTTTCTTATCCAAATACGCTGTATTTTAGAAACACACCCATGTGCTTGTTCCATTAAACTTTGTAATATATACAGCATGCCAGAATTACCTATATATACCTTATATAGATATAAGGAACCCATACAATAATCGACAGTTCTGCTAGGATGTGTTTTATCGACTAACATGAAGAGTGGTATTTAGCGCAAACGTTCCATGCTCCGGTTAACAAATGTTTGATATTGTTTTTTCTCATTTCGTTGACGCCGTAGGCTCGAGTATCCTTCATTGTGTCCGGAACTGAGCAAGCGTATGTTGTGTTCGATGCCCATGGCACCACGAAGATGTCATGGTTTTCATGTGATAGGATCTTATATTCTTCTTGGACCGATTTAAACAATGAAGGGACCCAGGATTACTGTAGCATTCAGGGGTAAGTTTGGATTAGAATAACACAAATCTCTAGAGTATATTTTGTTTATTGTGGAATGTCATTCTCAGGCACGATCAGATTGAGTAATATAATCTTTTCCTACCTTGAAAATGTGACAGAGAAATCTCAAACCCGATGGATGGTATTCTTGAATTTCCCCCCCGAATCTTTAGGGAAAGACAATCAAGAATATCATCCCTCGTGTTTGATATTTATGATATTTATCTGTCACACCCGCAAGGTAGGGAATTATTGTATTTTTCCCATCCTGTTTCACCCACAAATCCCCCAACAAGCACGCGGTGATTGCATGAAATATAAGCGTTGATGGCAGGTTTTCCAGCAAATCAAGAGCTGTCTTCCATGGTCAGCTACTGTTGACGTGACGTCCGTTCATTAATGACGTAACCTCATACTGTTATAATGACTAAGATCGCGCCGTTCTGTACCAGGCTCTCTCCCCCAGGGATAGACAAGCAAATCTTGTCCGGCTTAAAAGTGAGACACACATGTGAAGGATGGGAGAAAATATAATGACATAGCATTCAGGAGAGCAGATTGATTATTTTGACATGCCATACATGAAAACGACTGAATTATAATGACATATCACGCAAAGATACGCCTGAGAATAACTATGAAACCGTTTACATTTTGTTCTTGCATGTGCCAAACTTGCGCTAACGGCATAATCGGGTAAACTAATGCTAGTCATCAGTGCTAAAATGTATTCTCTTGCAACACAATATGTTACAAGCAATAGAGTATTAAGTCATTTCTTAGAGCAAATGCTAGATGTAGTTTTTACTTTTATATTTCAGTAACGAGCCATACAAACAGCATTTTCTCATGGAATCAAGCTACGGCACAAGTTGTGCGACCAATAGTGGCTGGTTCAGTGTGGTCGAGCGTACGTCCGGTGGATGTAGCTGGGAACAGAAGGACTCTACCTTTCCCCATGTTGTGTATAGTGATACAACGACGGCGGAATTAAACACAGGTAGCATTTATATTTTGATGAATGGTGAATACTACTAACAAGTAAACTTTCGATTTATCCATATTTGTTGAGATCTAGGATTGCATGTCACAACATGAATGTTGTGCTTTGTTAGCTGTTTATTTCTATTTGCCACGATAATGATTTTCGCCGTTAAGGCAATTATTTTTCGGTATAGAACACTCATAAGAGCGATCTATACGGTGTGTTATAAATGATAAAGCAGTATGTGGATAGACGATACTGATTATAGTTCAATTATGTATTTGATTTTAATCAATAAATGGAGTGAATCTGGATTTGTTTTCAACGTTCATGTAAATATAAACGGGGAGAACTTAACTTATACACCATATGATTGGCCAACCGTAGCGAAGTGAAGCGAATGCCGTCCATGTGAAAAGTGGATGTTATTTTCCCCCATTCATGCTGGCATGAACATTGGAAAAACCAAGAAACAGTCATTATAATTTCTAAATCACTATCAAAAGGGAAGGGAGGCGAACAATCATTTACAGTACGAAATGTATTCTTTCATTCACAAAGTTCGTATAGACAAATTATGTAACATTGCAACGTCATTTATGGGATCTTGAAACTATTTCACGTGATTTGGTGTTTTGTCGCGGCGGCTTCATTCGGCAATTTTGAAAGAGCCTAAACTTTGGAGATTCTACATAGAAAAAGTGTTCAACAGTGTAACCTGGTGTACATGTAAACTCGAGGGGTGATGAATCGGGAGCATAAATAAGCCGGTGTAACGTTGACAACCGGTTTGACAAAGCGTTGTATATTATTTCTGAAATGGATCATCATGGATTTAGAATATGAAAGACATTTATGTGTATGCCATGGGAGGAACATTATGTGTTAGTTGGTAGTCTCGGCTTCGCTATGTGCAAGGCATTCCTAGTATTTACAAGCCGTGTGCGCCATGTTAATTGAAATTCATTAATATGTGTGTAAATAAAGTCACCTCTATTCATACTTCCTAATGTTGGAAACATCCAGATTAATTTTCTTTACCGCTTCTGTTTCGATCGCATTGTGTACTCATATCAGAAATCGGGATACCTTGTTCAGTTTAGGCTTTGTCACATTGCAATCGTCGATACGACGGACGATACAACGTGTCACTGTTGTAAAAATGGTTTAATCCATCGTAGTTTAGACTTATTTGTTTAAAAACATGCTAATACTTCTAATAATAACCAATAAAGCACGAATAATAACATTTAAAGACTCCTTAATAGTTGATTTTGCATTTTCGCTATCGCGTTGAGTTTGGTTTATTTATGCAATGGGAGATAACTCGAACAACTGTTTTATTGATTCACCTGTGCTACTATTAACCAATAACGGAACTTGTAACAAAACAAAATCAGATGTGGAATTATATATATATATATATATATATTTGCACTACGCCCTGTTTCGTTTCTGTATGTATTGGTTTTCAGGATATTTAGCTGACCTTGACAGTCACGTGGATCTCTTCTGAGTAGTAGCATGGTTTATAAATATACACTTAACTCATTATTAATTGAAAAACATTCATCTTTTAAACTGAATATATATCTTCTCTGCAGGCATGGTTGTGGCAGACACGTTTGCGATATCTATTTGTAAGTACAAAGTTGATTTAACACGAACAATATCGAATACACATGTGTTTTAAGTTTCTTAATGTATATCATCTTTCCATCACGATAATAGTGGTGTAAATGTCATTAACTTACCACTTGATCTATGTTAGACCATTTTGACTGGTTTGATGTCCTGTGGGTATAGGATGTATTTCATATTATAACATAAGGTATATGTGTATTTATCATAACTATAAGTACAAACGAGGTCGAAGTTGCTCCGAAACAAATTATGATTTCGTTTCATACATATATCCAAATGTATAAATATATTTTTATGGCAAATTGTTTTTCAGCCATGGATGATATATGTGACATAGTGGAGTGTTTAAATGGTGCTACCTGCCTTGATTGGGGCGGACGGTACAAGTGTTCATGTGTGGGCCTGTTTTATGGACATTTGTGTCAAAATGGTAAGCTTACTTTTTGAATCTCTGCATAGATTGATTGATTGGTTTAACGTCCGCTTCACTACCGAGTAATTCGGTTTTCCAGCAGACAGGTGTACTGCTTAGTTCATCCTTGGGTATTTATCCTGATTCATTTTATTTTTAAAATATATTAGAAATCAATGCAATCAGCATTGTAAGAACCGCCTTATTTCAGTCCGGATATTATTCTTACATGGGTCCTGTCGACAAAATTGCTAAAAAATATATATTTAGTATCCCTATATCCAAATTGCCGTTTATGTCTGACTGTTGAAAAACTTCTCTCATCTGGCATCAGTTATTAAACTGACATCATATCTTATTTTATTAAATAATATGACCTGCTTTCAGTTGATGGAATTTATACGACGTGGACAGACTGGGCCGATTGTAGCACGTCCTGCTATGCTACTGGGACGCAGTCCCGTAATCGTACATGTACTAACCCTGCACCTCAAGGTATTGGATTGGACTGCACGCGTTATGGTGTCGATTACGAGGTTCAGTTTTGCGTACCTACCCACCTGGATATATGCGATGGTATGTTTACGCCATTGTCAGAGAACATAAATGCGTTTGATTTATTTTCATCAATAAAGCAAGTTAAACATAGTTTTTAGAAATGTTTTACGTTTCAACTTTCATCAAATATAAAATGTTGTACATGTTTAATGTAAATGTGCTTCAAATTCAAAATTATTCTTTCTCAAACACATAAATTATGTTGATCCTACTTTTTTTTAAATACAGCACTTGGGATATTTTATGTAACCATGAATCGTGGAATTGCTGTATGCGTCTCTTACTTTGGGTTTTAGAATATAACACTGGCGATATTCCCGAGAACGGTAATTATACAATGGTATGTCCAAGTGCGTTCTACATTCACGTTTACGATGCTTTTTATGGAAACGGAACAACATGTTCGGACGCCAATGCTCTTTCTGACGTACGGGCAGTTTGCCACGGACAAACGGATAGCTGTACATTAATATTCAACAATGCAAATTTTGCTGGGGATCCTTGCTCGAGCTACGCATATCTCACTAACTACGGATATGCAACATTCTATTGTGCAAGTAAGAGTTTTGGAATATCTTTTTAAACTCAAATGTTTCATTTCATAATAACAATATGATAATATGTTAATTGCATTGTTGATTATACATTTAGCTTTATCGACAATGTACACGTCAACATCTTAAGTTAATAACACGACGGAAACATAAATACGCAAATTATGTGGTCATAATGGAGAAAAACGTTCATTTTCTATTTGTTGCTGTAGAAAGGAACAAAGGAAAAAGGAAATTACCCTTTCAAAATATTTTTCTTTGATTTTATCTTTTCCAGAACGTACAGAACTGGATGACTGGAAGGGCCGTACGTATTGTTCTACAATGATCTGTTTGTGAATGTCTTAGTTGTAGTTTTGCTCTTACCAAATAAGCTGCTTATATATATTTATGATTATATGATACGTATGGTTATGCCTTTGATGATATATGCTATATAATGACGAAGTTGTGCCCAAGTCGTGATGAACGTGCGGGAAAGTGTATCGAATAACAATGTATAAAGTAAGTTCTTAAATGATCTCGTGCAGCGATTCGGTTTTCATAGTCCATTGCTACAAATATAAATTATGTTTTATATCGTTTTAATAGGTGATCATGCTGGTGTTTATGTCGATCGCTATGCATTTTTATTTCAGCCTGGCGACTGGTGTTCAAGGTCCCCCGGAACACTTCTCCACCTGTAGGGTATTCCGACATTATGAGTTTGTACACAGCCAGTGGGGCCTATAACGAAGGCGATGCAGCAGTCATGACCGACTTCAGTACCTCCGGAAGTATATATAAATCTGCACTGCTGGACCAGTGGGGCGACAACGTTACTGTCAACGCTGTACGTTTATCAAAATGTTGTTCAGTTTCAGTTTCGTACATAATCAGTTAACCACTTGTTAAAGATCATTTACAACATATAAAGTTTTTGATGACAACAAATCATATGCTTCTTTTTTCGCATGTTTTCTAATATATGACATCTTTAATCATTTATATATAAAAAATACCTGTATTCAGAAGCAGATGAAGTACATAAAGTGTCCAATCCATCATTTTATTTTGTTACAAACAGGTGAAGCTGTCGGTGTACACAAATGGGACAGAGGCTGCATATATAGTATTTGACGCATCATCAGCGACAAAATCGACATGGTTTGATCATAACAACATTATAGCATCGAGCTGGCATGATATTGTTGATGGAAACACGACTTCAACATTAAAGTATGCATTCGTTTTTGAAAAATATATATATTATGAAATTCATGTACCTCGGACGCAAAGAGCCACGATTATAAATGTCCTATATCCAAACTTATTACACGTTTTTGGTTAATATCGTTTTTTTAGAAAAACAATCTTTATTTTCAACATGACTGCAATAATATTTCATATTTATTTTAATTATCACAATAGTAATACACTAAGGAAGGTTAGGAACGAAATTCTCAATACACATATTTAAAAATAGTAACTAGAATGCAACACACTACAATATCTTTACGCAACCGTTCTTACGTTTTCTTTGATGATTCAAGTGTTAACATGGCTAAAGTAAAACCATTAAGTTTATCAAATGTCACTGACATATGATAAACTCTATCTGTATTTCAACTACAAGCTTTACATGTATTCACCGCCAGTGGTTTGGTTATGTAAAATCTTCAAAAGACCCTTTAACTAACTAACATTTATTTTTACAGTTCTGGTGGTACGGAGAAGAGAACGTTTTACATTGGTAGTGACTACTCAGGTTGCTCAAATGAGACAGGGTGGATCATGATGAAAGATTATGGAGCTTCCTCCGGATGTGCGGAGTGGGACGTAACCAGTATGACGATGCCTTATATCTACTACTCGGGACTTGGCACACGGGTCCAATGGTCAACAG